GGATTCCGTCAGGCCCACTCGACTTCTGGATGTCCAGGGAGAGAAGTGCTTTGCGAACTGAGCTCTGTGAGAATAGCACATGCGGCATGGAGCACTCACACCGCGGGATCGTCGGCGGTATTTTCCCCCGTCATCAAGAGTCGAGTTGGACGCAAAAAGGGAGCCTAAAAGGTCGGCCTTCTTTTTTGCGTCTTGGGCCAGTGAGTCGTCCTCCCTGTGCAGAGATGGTAGTGATGGCTTACAGAAATTCCCTTGGACAGCCTTGGCGAGAGACCAGAATGCACGGGTTCCCGAAGGAAGGCGAATTAGTTTCTCGCCAATTCTGCCTATGTGCTCTGACTTTGCCTTGGCAATAACTCTTTTGAAAGACCTGGAGGCGAAGTTATACTTCTTTTCTAATGTGCTGGTGTTTACATCCCGAGTCACCGAAGCCGCAGCCCAGGCTTGATAACACTCCTGCTTACTGCGCAATGCAGTCTTACAGGAGCGACCAAACCAAGGCTGAGATCTGCCTACGATGGGTACCAAAGATGATGGAATAAATAGTTCCATTCCCTGTAGCAACACATCAGTGACAGAGTCAGCAACAGCGCTGGGATTATCCGGCGAGAAGCAAACCCGCCCCCATGGGTAGGATGCAAAGAAAGACCGCATTCCGTCCCAATCCGCCGACCTGTAATGCCAAACACGGCGGCAACCTGCAGAACGCAACCGCGAAGGAGGCGTGAGTGGCACCATACTCCGGATCAGACAATGGTCCGAAGAGCCGAGAGGGGCATCGACGGAAACCTGATATTCGTCCGGATGAGAGGTCAGCAGAAGGTCCAACAGGGAAGGTGTATGATCCTCCACATCTGGAATCCGCGTAGGCGAAGTAACCAGTTGTGTCAGACCATATGCCAAGGCAAAGTCATAAACAGATCTCCCAGCATGATCGGTTAAACGTGAACCGAGCCATTCGGCATGGTGGGCGTTAAAATCGCCAAGGATCACGATCTCTGCGAATGGGACCTGTTGTAGCAAGGAATCTGTAGCCATTTGGACGTGGTCGATGAGTCGGTCTGTTTCGGCATTACCGCTATTGGACCTATAGAGGCACCCGTAGACGCGCGGATGGTCGTCGCTGTCTACGCGTAGCCAAAGGATGGACAGGTCCGAACCTTCAAGACTGCCGAGGCGTCGAGGACAGATGTCCTCTCTGACATACACGCAAACTCCAGCCCGAGGCACAAAGGAGTGCTCCAATTTGTACCCCGGGTAAGAGAGATACGAAATATCAGCCGGAGAGGAAAGCTGCGTCTCATTCAGAAAGAGCAAGGCCGGCTTCGCCGTCTCGAGATGGTAGTGGACGGCGTTTAGGTTAGAGTGAAGTCCCCTGATGTTGCAGAAATTCACAGATAGCGTGGCAGGGCTCGCCTTGGTATTGTTGCTCAGTTTGCCCCGAGCAGTTTTGGTTTTGAGCGGAATTTTGCCCCCCCCCCCAGAATACGCGAGGCAGCCTGAGCACCCACACTCAGGATTGGAATAACATGGCCGTGGATGCTCAGCGAGGGATTCTCCAGGGTTACTGGTACCCTCCTGGGGTAGTCTACTGTGTAATTCCGCTACCATGTTGATGGGGGGGGGGGGGGAATTGGGCCACCGGCCACCTGCTCTCACCAGACGAAACGCAGAAGCAGAGCCTCTACTTCACGCCGGTATTCTGTGAGGTCGTGGTACCAACCCGCCTCGAGCCGGCCCATACGTGCAACAGCAAAAACTGCTGCGGGGCTCTACCTCCGTTAAGGACATTATTATTACAACAGAAGTCGTCGGTCGTCGGCCTAACTTGGAATACTGTTACCATCTCAGGGCCATGGACTCTTCAGTGCCAGCTCCTTCCACTTGACTGCATCTAGCGCAGAGCAGCTCAAATCGTGGACGACCGAGTTCTTTCCAATCGGCTTGATTTACTGGCACTGCGAAGAGATGTTGCATCACTTTGCTTCGTTTATTGCATCTACCACGGGGAGTGTTCCGAGAAATTGTTCGGACACGAGGAGGCGTTGAAGTGCCATTCGATCTCCATGTCTGATATTGGTGAGAAGAAGTCATTACTCAAGTTTTGTTGAAGATTGATGAATTCCAGGTGTAAGTGTTTGTTGGCGCCGACAAAGTTGGTCTCGTTGTCGCTGTACAGGTGACGTGGGGCTCCGCGTCGTGTTGCCATTCGTCGGAGTGCTGTGAGGAATGCTGATGAGGAGAGGTTTGATACACCATACACACAAAAACTGCGACGTATCCTTCCGTCGTTTTTATGCCTCGTCGTTTTATGCCTCGTCGTTAGTTTCCTTTCACTTCGATGAAATCGGTGTAATCGGTACCAACGTGGTAAAATGGCCTGGTCGGGTTACATCATGCAGGTGGCAGGTCTCCCATAATTTGAGTCTGTTTGATTGGGTTGTGCCATCTGCAGACAACACAATCACGGATGCGTTGTTTGACGGTCCTGTTGCCGTCAATAATCCAGTAATGCTGTCTTAGCTTTGATATGGTAAGGCGAGCTCCATTGTGAAAGGTGGCTTTGTTCGATGGACACGTTTTACTACACTAAAAAGAGACAAACATATACATCCATAGGATTTAGTCTGCGAGAGAAAGAGTGTAACAACACACACTTGAGGACGAATGGCTTCCAGCGATTAATGTCGCCTTGGGTCCAAGCGAGAACAACTGTTGAGTCTGACTAGCCGAATGTTTTGATGTTTTGCTCTAATACACTGTGATTGACTGTGTGTATGAGTCTTGATAATAAGTGAGCGTCACACAGTTCCAATTTTGGCAATGATATGATTTTTGATGTTGGAACTAGTTTTGATTTTGCTGCTATTAAAAATACTGCCTGTTCGCCTTGTTTCTTGCTCTTGATTTTGCTCAAGTCGTTTAGGCTGTAACCTGATGACGTTTGCGATGACGCATTAAATACGACCCGTAATGCAGTTCTAAATGATTTGGCGCGCTGCACACAATGATGCGACAGATAGCAACTCGGTGCCGGGATCGTGTTACTGTTACGAGTACATTGCTACTTGTGGTCCAATTGATTTTAACCTAACTGTTCACGCGCACGGCACGTGATCTCCACCAGCGGCGGCGGAGCGCCGGGAACATAACTACAACGGACAGAGCTACAGCGGTCGCACGGCGTGCGATACGTCTCTCACAAGATATATTTTATTTAAATACACACTTTATTGTCCAGGTTGTTTGATTGCTGCAATTCCATACCAGCCAAATCGTCTCCCGGACAAAAATGGCGATCGTGACAAAACATCAGTCTGCATCCAAGGGTCGGTGAAGTCCAGAAGACCTGCACTACACATCGTCGGGCGAGGTATCAAAGGTCGCACGCAGCGGTCAAGACAAGGACAAGCGGACAACTTTCTCGAAGTCTCTCGGACAGCCAGCGCTCCAGAAGGCCATTCATAAAGGAAGTAAGCCCGTTCCTTACCTAATCACTTCCCTTGCACCCTTTTGGATCAGTGTTAAATAGTGTCGTGAGTCAATATACACCTATAGTTAATTACGTGTAATCAATATTTCAACGCAACGTTTATTTATTTCTTCATCTAACTGCCCAAACTAGGGGTACAATATTTACAATTTTTTTTTTTGTGTTTTACGTTTGCAATTAGTAACTTTGCGCGTTATATATATTTAACGGCCCAAACTAGGGGTCATAACTGTATAATACAGTAACATTTTCCTTTGAATTACAGTATAGCAAATCGTGTTTTTAATGATTACAAGCGTAATTAACGTTACGTAAAGTAATTAACCAAACATAATACCTTATTTTCTCCCATTGTTTTGCTCATTGTTAAATAATTAATCTTTGAATTTAGAGTTCCGTAACTATTAAACGCTTATTATTTTCACTCGCTTTGCATTTGAATCTCTTCAACTATAGCCTTTTCTTAATCCATAAACTGCCCTCTCACTTCACGTGCTTAAATACGCGCATCCATTGCACGTTGCTTAGCCGAGCCGCCGAGCATTCCAGAGTGGGCGCATTCGTTCACCGCTGCGCGCTTGTTGCTACGCACCGCTTGTTGCTGCGCGCGATCACACCCACGTCGCAGCGCTTGGTCTACCCACTTTACCTCAACGGATTTTGGTTTGATTGCATATTCTTGCCCACATTTTTATATTTTTTATTATTTGCAAATCCATCGTGGCCCAAAGTAAAGTGTCGAACCAGGACGAACTGGCTTTGTTAGTTCGTAAACGTGGCACAATTAAAGCGCGATTTACAGTATTCAAAGATTTTCTCTTGGTTATTGAACAAACTAAAACCAATAGCATCACGACAAAAAATATAAGTGAAATTAATTTGAGACTAACAAAAATAAAAGAATTATTTTTAGACTTTGAAAAGGTACAAACTCAAATAGAAGCATTAGGTTTGGAAAGCAATTTAGATAAAAGCTTGCAAGAGAGAATTAAAATTGAATACCAGTTCTTCGCGGTCATATCTAGTGCCCAGGACATAGAGTCAAAAAGAGAGGAGCGCAACGAGGCTGCCCAGCGTAGAATTTCACTTGGAAGTAACTGTAGTAATAGCAGCAATAATAACCACTTAAATACTCAAATTCGATTACCAACTATAAAATTACCGAGTTTTGATGGAAATTATTTGAAATGGCTTGAATTTCGGGACACCTTCGACTCGCTCATCAATGAACAATGAACCTGACATCAGCAAGTTCCACTACCTCAGGTCTTCTCTAGAGGGTGGTGCCGCTGTCACAATAAAATCAATTGAGTTTATCAGTAAAAATTATCAGGTTGCCTGGGAACTACTGTGTCACAGATATAATAACAAAAACGCACTGATTAATAACCACCTCAAATCGTTATTCAGCCTCGAATCTTTAAATAGGGAGTCGCATAGATGCGAAATAACATGCAAAATTTTTGACCCCCTAGGGTTGCTAAGTGCTTGTACGATTGTTCCTAAAATGCTGTTACAAAGGTTGTGGGAGTCTAAAATGGACTGGGATGATTTGGTGTCCGCCGATGTATTGAAAGAGTGGAGTGCCTTTGCAAATAATTTAAAACAAATAAAAGCTATAAATATTCCACGCCACGTCTTGCATCCATCGTCGAACACTCCAGTGTCAGTGGAATTACACTGTTTTGTCGATAGCTCTCAGAGTGCATTTGCAGCATGTGTATTTATACGTTGTACTGATCAAGAGGACAACATATCAGTCAAGTTATTATGCGCCAAGGCTAGGGTTTCCTCTTTGAAACCCAGTACCATATCGCGGCTCGAACTGGCTCAGTCAAGTACCAAGGTTTGTCAATCACTCAATCGTAAGATTGATCAAAAATATTTTTGGAGTGATTCTTTAATTGTGCTTGGATGGATTAAAATTACCAACCCTAGTAATCTAAAGCAATTTGTTTACAATCGAGTAAATGAAATTCATGAACGGACTGACAAATCTTCCTGGCATCACATTTCTACGGATATTAACCCGGCAGACATAGCTTCTCGAGGAGTCAGCCCTAGCAAGCTTTAAGATTTAGAGTTATGGTGGAGTGGCCCCCCATTTTTAATGAAACCTAAAGCGGAGTGGCCAAGCGCTCCTATAGAAAATGTTGAACTTCCGGAGCTCAAAGTAAATACATGTTGTGTGTCTATTGAGCCTTAATTTGATTTTGATAGATTCTCGAAATTTCAACGAATGATCCGGGTGGTAGGATATATCTTAAGATTTATTCACAATTGTAAAACAAGAAAGGATTCGAGGCTTAGTTGTGATCTCAATAACGATGAAATAAATAGGTCTACTCAGGCCCTAATCAAAACCTGCCAACGCGATTCCTTTCCAGATGAGGTGCAATCATTAAAAAACAATAAAAAGATAAATCATAAATCATAAATCAAGAATTTTATCACTAAACCCTTACTTAGATGAGCGAGATCTGATTAGGTTTGGCGGCAGAATCCAAAACTCTATCTGAGTGAGTATTCTGAAAAACATCCCATTTTATTATGTGCACGCCATAACTTTACGAAACTGTTGTTTCAGAAAGAACATGTACGTCATAAAAATTGTGAGCCTGAATTATTACTTAGCTATACGAGATCAATATTTGCCCATCGGTGGACGTACTCTTGCACGCAGTACGTTTAGTAAATGTATCGTGTGTGTTAGTAAATGTATAATGGGTGACTTACCTCCTCCTCGAGTCACTCTTACCTATCCCGTCCTCGTGACAGGCGTAGACTTTGGCGGGCCATTCTCAATCGTAGACCGCTAGGGCAGAGGATGTAAGGTATCCAATGTTGGCTTTGTCTTTTTGTGTGTCTAAGTACTAAGCACTAACATTTTTAATGTGTTTGCGTAGATTTATCTCGCGTCGTGGCAAGCCTCATGACATTTATTGTGACAATGGCACCAACTTTGTGGGTGCCAATAATGAGCTGGGTAGAATGTTGCGAGCAAGCCAAGGTTCTGTCAGTGAGGCTTCCCACGAAGAGAGCATTAAATTTCATTTTTCGCCCGCTTATTCCCCTCACTAGAGGGGGTTCAACGAGGCTGGAATCCGTTCAGCAAAGTTATTAATGAAACGCATAATAGGGAACGCGAATCTTACGTTCGAGGAGCTTACGAATCTATTCACTCAGATCGAAGCGATCCTAAATTCCCGCCCGTTAACTCCTCTAACGTCAGACCCTTTTGATATGACTGCTCTGACTCCAGGGTACTTTCTCATAGGCCGGCCGATGACTGTTTTACCAGAACCACCTATTGTTACGAATTGTCCAAACAGATATCAAAAATTGGAACAGATTAAATGGCACTTCTTGGACCGGTTCTATAAAGAGTATTTAAGCGAGCTGCAGCAGTGGACTAAGTGGCAAGAGCAGAGGAAAACACTCAAAGAGGGCGGTCTTATCGCCATCAAAGACGGCAACCTTCCCCCCATACGATGGCGCTAGGGACGAGTTAAGAAATTGTATCCAGGGGCAGATGGCATCACCCGAGTAGCCGACTTCACGACTGCGCGTGGCGTAATCCAGAGGGCCTTAGGCAGGGTCTGCCTGCTCCCAACTACCAATCCAGAGGACGAGTCTCTTGGTAACAAGGGTTCTCAAGGCAGGGAGTCTGTTCACTCGCACGGCACGTGATCTGCACCAGCGGCGGCGGAGCGCGGGCTGCGGGGCGCGGGCGTCGCGGCGCGAGCGGCACGGCGCCGGGAAGATAACTACAACGGACAGAGCTACAGCGGTCGCACGGCGTGCGACACGTCTCTTACAAGATATATTTTATTTAAATACACATTTTTATTGTCCAGGTTGTTTGATTGCTGCAATTTCATATCAGCCAAATCGTCTCCCGGACACTAACACTACCCAAAAAATTCTGAAGATACCGAAACAAGTGAAAATCTGAGAGTGAAAGGTCAGGGCTATATGGTGGATGAATCAACACTCCCCAATCCCAACCAAGCTCTCTCAGTTTTCGCTGAGTGGCAAAAGATGTGTGTGGTCTGGCGTTACACGCTTTCACACAATACATTTTTACTGGAAATGAGGCATTCCATCTTAGTCTTTACGGGTAACAGCGCATCTGCATTTTGTTTTCTAATCGAGGATAGATGAGGGCCACATAAACCACTTACCATCAGATGGACTGTGTGCTCGTTTGTCACTGTGTGTATAGCGTGTTAATCCGGGTTTCGCTACGGTCTGTGGAGTTTGACTACCCTTTGACCATGATCATTTACGCACGTTTTTGTCATAGGTGATCAACCTTTCATGATCAATATTTTCAAAAATGGTTTGGCTTCATTACGTTTTAATAGGTAGTCGCAATTGAATACACTTCATTAGGTTTCTTTCAGTGATCTCGTGTGGTACCCACATATTGAGCTTTTTAATATAGCCAGACTTTTTCAAATGAGTCAAAACTGTTTTATCGTCAATCCTCAATTCCTCAGGTATTTTGTAACTAATAATATGCTGATATTATTAGTTTTCCACTTTTCTTCAAAAATGGCATCGGCTTTATCTGTATGAGAGCGACCAGAGCGAGCTGCATTTTTTGAAATCAAAATTCCTGGACTGAAAACGCTTGAACCAACTATGTGCTAATCTTACTGACACTGCATTAAGTCCATAAACATCACAAATATTTTTCGCGGCTTGAGTAGCATTTTACCCTCTTTTGTAATAAAACTTTAGAACATATTGAATTTTCTTGTTATAATGACTGATTTAGGCGGATAGAAAACCAATTGAAAAATGGCGAGAAAGTGTTTTTCACTTTTAAATTTTTCTTTTTCTTAATGAAATTAAAACCAACAGATTTATATTAAAACCAAATAGACATTACAACCAAAGAGATTTTTTCTTAACTTTTATGCGCTCCACTCCACTCCAACCAACTCTAATACATTCTACTCTACTCTACTTTACTCTACTCTATTCTACTCTATTCTACTCTATTCTATTCCATTCTATTCTGTTACATTCCATTCTATTCTATTCCCTTAGAGTAAACCAAATACCTCCCTCTTATAGTATGTACGGAATTGCATTTATAGTTTATAATACGAGTACATGCAAGTTTCATCACAATGTTATTCATTACCGCCGTATAGGTGATAAAACAACACGTAAAACTGTAATGAACAGTTTCATTAGCAAGATACAAATCGAACATGGTATCTCACGTATTTTATAATTTTAAGACATTAAAATAGAACTGTGGCAAGGATCCGTTGTACCGGCAGATATAATCTCCTTCATATAACATGGAACAGCTCTATTAGTAGGATTATTACGGAAGTCTGAATACTCTATCCCGAGAGACGTGTGACCAAGATGAAAATAGCGAATGTGAATTAAATCCACTTTTATCTTCTTTGTTTATTATATATCAATGCTACTTTCATACCTTATGAATTTTTTAACCAATGATTTATTTATTTATTTAATTAATTTGATATTACAGTCCACCTCATCCATTCATTACAGCCCATAAAAGTCTAAAGCTGAACATAGGCCTCCCCCATAGATTGTATCATAGTAGAGGAATTGCGTTGGATTTTGCCATAGCTGTCACCTTGGCGGGCCGATTGGCAACCGCAGATTTTCGTTATTTTGAGTTGTTATCATTAAGAAGCTGCTGCCCATTAAGTCCTTCATTTTATCTTTGTCGCCTCATACGACACCCCCATTTCTTACGTAGTAGAGCCAAGCTGCAGCTATATTATGGTTGTAGCACAAATGGGTCGGCTCGACCGGGGGATGACCACGTTCTCAAAAATACCACCGGTGAAATAGCAGCTTAGTGCTGCTGTGTTTCGTATGGTGAGTGTAGGGAACCGGAGACCCATTTTACTGGTAACGAGGCATTCCGGCTTAGTCCTCACGGGTGACAACGCATCTGCATTTTGATTCTTTATCGAAGATAGATGAAGTTGTCTATGGGTCACAACAACCACTTACTATCAGGTGGACTGTGTGCTCGTTTGTCACCCAACCCTTATTTTACCCTGTTGGCAAAGATCCAGAAATCACCCGTGCGGTGTCGCGGCGGATCCCTAGTCGATATAAACATACAAACATTTTATAAGCAGGTATATTAAACCTGCATAAAAGTGATACTAAAAGTAATGATTAAATTTGGATTTTATATTTGCATATCTCTACGCGACTGCTAAGTTCATAAAGCTTACGATATTCTGTTTGTCTAACTTGCTAATAATTTCATAAAACGGATATTTGTGGTTCTCAAAACAGATGGCGGGCGGAGACTGTTGAATTATTAAAATCACGAAGCGAAGATAATACTGTTGGATTATTCGTTGACACATCACATAATAAAGGATTATTGGAGTTATAAGCATAATTTCTGTTCCATAAAATATTAAGTTTAGTTTATGATAAAAAGAATTATAAGACAACTATATTTTTATTATATAATGGGCACAAAGTTCACCTGGTGGTGTGTGTATGCTATGGTCCGCATATACCTACATCAACCCTCGATTAGAAATCAAAGTAATCCCATTTTATTAGATGTGCAATGTTTTTTTTCAATACCTAATTTGATTTCAAATAAAATGGAACATATGTTATAAGCGAACTCATTGAAAATAGAACAAGAAATTATCGTTATATCTTGAAATTCATTCTATTTGACCGAATTTGAATAATAATGTTAATTAGTTTCAAAATAAAGCTTGATGGAATTGTCAACAACGTGAAAGAATAAGCAGTATCTTTTAAAAGAAAATAGTTAAAGTAATTTATTTAGACTATTGAAATAAAAGTCTTAATTGTGATTAAGAAATTTCTTTAGAAACTCCATGACCTGAAGTCTAAATTGTAATTTTACGCAAGTATTTGTATAGAAGTAATGGCGACAAATCAGCACACAGTCCACTGATGGTAAGATGTTGTGAAGAAGTGGTTTAGAGTCATGTTTAATTAATGTTTTTTTCATGTTTAATTTATGGCAGAGCCACGTTGCAGTTATATTAGTTATATTAACCACGCTCTCACAGAATACTAGCGTACAATAGCAGTTTTATGCTTCTGTATTTCATATGGTGAGTGTAGAGCACTGAAGACCCTTTTTACCGTTAATGAGGCATTCCATTTTAGTCCTCAGGTTTGACAACGTATCTGCATTTTGATTCTTAATTGATGATAAATGTAGATGTCTATGGGCCACAGCATCCGATTACCGACAACAACCACAACAAAATGTGTGCTTATTTGTCAACCTTATTCTATAAATTATTATGTAAATAAAACTGCCCTTAAATAAAAAAGAAGCATAGGGTAGAGGGGAAGTTCAAAAAAAGAAATAAAATATCGTAGTTGGATTTAGATGCAGTCGTGTAGACACTAGTCGGGCATACATTTACCTATTCAGATATTTTGCAGCCTGAGGGTTTAAGCTTAATTTAATAGTAGAGACTGAGTAAATTCTTACTTACGTTTGTAATACCCTTCTCATTCCGTTTGTCTGTAAATTTAGTTTATATAAAGTATCAGTTTATTTGTCTGTTTCAAATATTTTCCAACGGTCTGGATAATTTACGTCTGACGTAAATGTGACTATCATATATCTAAAGGTATAAGATTGATACCCATTACTTGTGCTTATTAACCTTTAGTGTAGTAGCGGTTTAAGAATATCCACTACCCCGTATCGTCCCGTGGGTATCGTAAGAGGCAAATGGGGGTAATTGAAACAGGGAATAGGTAGAAGCACCTGCCAGATTACAACTGAAAATTATTAAAAACTGCGGTTGCCAACCCGCCTGCCAAACGCGACTACTATGGAAAAATGCCCCCTTTAAAACAATCTACACGGGAAGTTTATGTACTTGTACTTATTATATTTTATTAATAAAATGTTTCATGTTTTATGAAGTCTTTATTTTTCCAAATACGTCTTTCCCGTTTAAAATAAAACGGGCGTTTATAATGTAACTAACTATACCGCTTTTATTTTTAATTTTAAGGAAGTAAGAGGCCTAAAATAAATATTATAACAAAAACCTTTATGTTTTGTTTTGAATTCCTTTTAAATATTGATTGGCACTAATTACTTCACTTATTAAATAAACTCTAAAATTCAATTTACTATGGAGTTAGAGGCAAATAATTCTTTAGCTTTCCTAGATGTGTTAGTCATTCGAAATCCTAATAACACCGTAGGTCACACAAAAACGACACAAAAAAGACCCATACAAACCGATACTTAAACGGTGAATCCCACCATCACCCTTCACAGTTAGCTACCGTGGGCAAATCTTTGTTGCAGAGAGCACGAGGGATCTGTGACAGCAAACACCTGGCCGCCGAGCTTCAGCACGTCAAGCAGGTTCTACACGACAACAAGCTTCGGGTTCCGCGCCTACGTCACAGTGACCGAGTGAAGCCGGCCACAGTCGAGCGTGTGCCTGCTGTACTACCATATGTCAGAGGTGTCACAGACAAGATTGGCTACATCTTGAAGCGAGCTTCTATTGGAACATTCTTCAAGCCGCCGAAGAAGCTTAGTCAGTTCTTACCATCCGTCAAGTGCAATATTCCTCTACAAGATGCAGGAGTATACAAGCTTGATTGTGAGTGTGGTCTCTCATATATAGGGCAAACAAAACGAT